AAAGTAGTGATAAAAAGGAACACAATGGATATCATGGTATAGATTAGAACAAATAGAACAAGTAAATAAACCTGATGGAGCTCCTGGACACAAACGTTGCTTAGCAACACTTTGATGCAATCACTGAAATCAGGTGTTTACTGTAATATTTAGCAAATGTTCAGTAAGACTTCTGCATCTGCTGACAGGTATGTGGCTTCACTGTTCAAAGGCAAGGTACTTTCATTTATCTGGGAGAGTTTGTTATAATTCTTCAAAATAAAAAAATTCAGAATCAATATTTTGTTTTACTTACATTTTTGTAATTTTTTATTACTTTTTCAGTGATGTGTTATTTGAATTATTAGTTTGAATTTATCATATTCTTTAATGGGAGGATATCTAAACTTTCAAGCACAACTTTAAATTCAATCTGTCCTTTGTGTTGGATGCTTCTTGTTCTTACCTGCCTTAGGACATCGGATACAAATTTAGCTGTATAACAATGCCAACGTGTTTGATTTGATGCTTATTGTCCTAAATTAAATGAATAAATAGATTTAAATGGAATGAAATAACACCTTAATAGAAGATGACATTATGCTGGGCTAAATGAAAGCATCCACTGTCAACGGATGGATGAGTGCTTATTTATCGAAACGGGGGGGAGACGTCAATGTCAAATATTGAAGTTAGGCTTCAAGAGATTAACCTTGAAAACAAACTGTACAAATATACCAGTTTTACACAAAAAATAATATAGGATAAGGTTAAGTCAAGACTATGAGATGTTGAGCTATAATTACAATGAAAAGTTGAGGATTAAAAGTTTCTGTGCTCACGTATTTCTGTTTGCTTGGCCTGTTTTTCCTGTAAAAACTCCAGACAGTTGGTTAACTTCAGTTGTGGAACATTTCCAAATTTCTAGTCCTTTTAAAGAAGAGCAGTGATGAACCGTGTTTACTGCTCTCCTTGTTACAGCTCCAGCTGTGGGATGTTGGATATCATTTGATTAGTCATCAGGGCTTCCCTAAGTGCAGCTCTTTGTGTTTTTTCTTTTGATGAGGGATGTTTATTGATGCAGCACACTTCAGTACTAGATCATTCAAAGTGCTCTAGATGAGAAAAAAAAAGTACATTGCGAAGGCATAAAGGCAACACAAGTAATTAAAACAAATAAAAATGAATAATTAAATTATTATATAAAGGAAAAAAAAGCTGATGATGACATAAATTAAAGAAAAGTTTGACTGAAAACGTAACTATTATGTTTAGATAGCACAGTCAAAAGCCGCTCTAAATAATATGTTTATTATCTGATTTAAAGCAACTTGCGGCGCTCAGTTCAGAGTATTCTAGATTAGCGAAACTAAAGCTGCTTCTACTTACCGGTAAGTTTATTTAGTTACTTTTAACTGGTTCCATATAGAATTTTAGGACATTTTCAGAAAGGGACAAGATTTTAGTACTCTGTCCTTGTTTTTAAAAGACCTAAAATTATCCCTCCAGGTAAAGGAATTCAAAATGTACCTTTAATGTGTAACCTGGTCTGTTCTCTATAATGTTTTAGATTTTAATAGACCAAAGACATTAAGCCCAACTGGTTTAGTAGATCGGCTGGTTATTAAATGCTAGGACTGATGTAAATATGTGAATGATGGAAATTAGCTGCAGGCTTTGCTTAAGGTGACGGAACAACACCGATGATTCGTCACGATTGGTGGGTTCATCACCAACCTGACAGGAGGCCAACATATCATCAATGGCCAATTTTTAACTTTACTCTAACCAGATTGGACTGTAAACTGAGATTGTGGTAATATAAGGGTATAACATATCTGCATAAAAGTGACCCAACCCTAAAACAGTTTATTCCAAAAAAAGGGGCATAATGGGGTGGAAATAAGAATAAAGAAATGTCTCTTTCTGTGAGATTTTATGCCAGAAATTTTTTATTGGCCTTGGAACATTGTTAAATTTTTAAAATGAACAGAAGCTGACTTGTTATCAAACGGCTGCTAACCTGGAGAAGAGTTGTAAGATAAGTGTCCTAGAAACACAGTTTTTTTGTGATTTTTAATTTCAAAGAAAGACTCAGAACATCATCAAGAAGTCTCTCTTTTCACCCTGAACATGTATCCATATGGATTAAGGCCACCTACAGCATTTAGAGCAAACTGAAACAACAGCTTCTGCAGGTTAAAGTGAGGCTGAAACATAAAAGCTGTGATTGATAGAAGTTATTTTAGCTGAGGCTAAAATGAGGATATTGTTCTAAGAATAAACTAGAGATGCAAAAATAAGCCTGTCTGGAAACTTTCTGAGCACACTTAGAAGCTATGCACGTTTATTCATGCAATAATTTTCAGTCAGCAGCACCACTCGTATATTTATAATTGGTCTAAAAACCACTCTGGTCATGTTGTTTAGTTCTTGTTGTTGTCTTCCTGATTGGAAACGTTATTTTGCAAGCAAGAGGAATTGTTACGAGTTTTGTGAATTCACAAACTCAGAAGGAATTACATGCATCAGTCTGGTTTAGACCAGGTTAGCTTATAAGGTGTGCATGACGGAGTTAAGCCCAGTCTGTTGCTAAACCCCTACTAGCTGAATTTAGACATACTAATCAAAGATCTTTTTACATAGATTTATATAGAGAGGATTTCCTTCTTCATGTATTTGATGCATCAATAAACAAATTGATGGTTTTGTTTCCCAGTTACTGACAGAACGGAGACACTAAAGAAATCCATTTACTGTTTTGGTAATCTGTGTGTATACTGGTCGGACATTGTTCTTACCTTAGTTTTTTCTTATTTTCACCAGAACATTGGCGGTGGACCTTTAAAACTTGACTACAAAACCCTGGCTGCACTCCCCACCACCAGCCTGCAAAAAGTCAACAAAGTGAGTCTCTTTTTTTTCCCAGATGTTGCACAAACTAACAGAATTCAGTTCAGGACTTACATGAATGAATGATGGATTTAACTTATTGACATGTTTTAAAACTGGGTCGGTGCCCCTGGGGTTGTAAATTCTTGGTTTGCTGCGTGTGGCCTTGGTTAGAGGCTTAGAATAGACCCTCCTGGAATCTGTCAGGTTTCTGGGTGACCCTGAGATCATCAGTTGGACCTGATCGAGAACCCAAATCCCTCAGATTGATTCTTAGATGGCTCAGAGTCAGAACTTGTCTTAATGATGTTACTGTGTCTAATATAAGCAGCAGATCGCAGCTAGATGAAGAATCTTGTTTATGTGACTAAATAAAGTAAAGCAATAAAGCTGATTAGAAAGGAGTGAACATCTTCAGGATGAGCACAGGGTTCTGTTTAAAGAAGTGCAGGCCCGGTCCGATGGGGTGAAAGAATAAAGCGTGAGAGAGGAAGGGCAACTTGGGGGAGGGGAACAGCTGCCCACTATCAGCGGGCCTCCTCTTGGTGATATTTTAAACGTGCATCTGGCTCTGAGTTGGACTGAGTGTGTCTGCTTGGTGGGGACGGTGTCCTCTGAGAGAAACGTTTAGGTTCAAGCTCTGAAAGTCCTGAACATCCAGCTTTACCCTTCTACCATCCAGCTGTAAGTTCCCACTTCTTCTTCTTTCCTCTCTTTGCCTCTTTCAAACTGTTTTTTTTTTTTTTTACTTGAATATATCTTCTATTTTTCAACTTGACTTGAATTTTTTTTCTCTTAAATGTGTTAAATAATATTTAATCAACTTTTCTGAGCTGTAGCTGGCTTCTGTTTAGTGTCCTATTTGTAAATCACTGTTTTGAGTGCAGCAGAACTTAACGTACATGTCATAAGCAGCTGCTCTTGCAGTGGGATCCGTAGCCACGTGGTTCAGTGTTTCGATATTTTACCTGTAACTGCCTGTGAAAGCCAGAGTACAGGAACTTCTAAATCTTAACAACAGAGTATCACTCTTGGTAGAGAAGATTGTGGAGTTTTAATTAAATTGCAAATTAGTGGTTTGTATATGAGCTGCAGACTAAATATGGCAGTAGAATCATTTTATTTTACTGAAAGCCTTGTAGTGTCGCTCCTTTGTCCTTGGAGCATTGCTGGGAAAGTTAAAAGCCAAACAAAACAAGGATCTGTTGGACTTTAGGTCCATTTACTCATTATCACTTAGTGCTCCAATTCAGCGCCCAAGCTTTGCCATTTCAACTCCGCCTACTTCTATTATCTACATAGGCACTTACCCTGGTTTACTTTATTCCTCTTAATTATTTTTGATCAGCTAAAGACTAGTCAGAAAGAAATTTCTCTAATTTCAGGTGGTTTAATTAATTATATGATATATATATATATTTTTTTTTTTTTAAATACCCTCTTTACCTGGTTTGCATCAGTTTCCCTTCATAAAAAAAAACAAAAGAACTGGTTATATCCTCCTTCTGGTAGAGGTTTTTATTTTATTAGAGTACACTATGAGCAGGTTAGAGGTGAGCTAAACGGTGTGATAGATGAACCTCATTAAGAACCTCTCTGCTGTTGCCAAACTATTCAGTTTTTCCTTAAGGGCTAAATAAAACAAGGACCTGTGATCAAATTTCCCTTGATGTGATTTCCCTAAAACTAAAAGCTCAGTGATCCGTCCGCCTGCGTCTGATCGTCATGCTGCTATTGGGTCCCAGCTGTGCAGCTCTCAGTGCCACGGCACGTTGGCGAGCCGGTGGCCTGACTCCTCTCCTCTAAAAGCCAGCTGTCGCTCACAGACGTCTGCGTCGCTGCCAAAAGGTCACTGACTCGCATTCCAGCCCTGGAAAGCTCACACGTATGCCTCTTAGGGTTATTACCAGGAGAGCTGTGTCACCATTTCGCCTTTAATCAGACTATCGTCATTGTTGCTGATCATTTCATAGTGTTGTAACATATCATGTAAGGCTGCAGAGTAAAGTCAGCTGAGTCTTTGCTGTAGAAAAAGAATCAATCAGCTGGCAGATGTTATTTGCTTCTTTTTTTTTCTCCTTATATTAGCATCAGCTAGGAAATGCATCATTCATCTTTAAATCAGCAACACAATACAGGGATCGGTTAGCATGAGGCAAAATAATCAGCCTCCCTGTTAAACAGTTTAAGAGTATTTTAAGCAGAAACTGTGCTGAAATGTGGATGTTAGCAAACACAACCAGTTAGGACTTAAAAGAAATGGGTTTGGAAACTCATCTGAAGGGCTTGAAGAGCTTTAGTGATGCAAGTCACTCTTTATAGCAGCCTGAGGCTTCTGGGTCAGCTTTCTATTCATAGGTCCACAGGCGTTTCTCCTCATCTTACTTTAGTTTGTGGGTTTGGCACTGTTAGTTTAAATTTCCTATTTTAAAGGACTGGTTAGAGCTGCACACTGATTATAACTAGTCCTGCACCAGTTTGCTCCTCTCTGTAAAACTACTTGCTGCTCCACACCAAAACAATAAACTCAATTTGGTTTATTTCAAGTTTAAGTTTTTTGTGGCCAGAAATCACTGTTTAAACATTTTGTTTTTTACAAACCTGAATTTACTTTGAATCCTTAGGATATACTCAACATATCATTGTTTATAACATGAGATTTATAGAAGTACATTTTTATCCATTTTACAAGTGAAAGAAGCTTTATCCCTTATTATGAGAGGATAAAGTTTAGGTGTGTGTAAATCTTCTGTTTATTCCATTTGAGTTTTGAATGTTGGTGGGTCTATATTCTCCTGTGAGTCCTCTCTTCCTTCTCCTTTGCTCCTGTTCAGTTCTCTGCTTCTGTTATTTCGACCGCTCCCATGGAGGCCCCCTTGCCGGCCAATCACGGAGCCCTTTTAGAACCAGCAGGCTTCGGTTTGGTCAAACCCACCGAACCCCTCACAGACCACAGCTATCTCAAGGAATTCCAGTTCTCCCATAACGGGACGCCCACCATCAATGACAGTCCAGGCTCAGCCACAGCTGTTGACTCCATGCCGGCCGTTTCTCCTGAGGAGGAAGAGGAATGCCTGGTGGACTCACAGCCTATGTGCTTTAGGGAAAACCCCTTCCTGGTAGCGAACCGTAAAGGGAAAGGTCTTCCACCTGGAGAGCAGATCCTGTCCGGGCCCCCTGTGGGCTACGGCCAGCAAGGAAAGCTGCAGCCCTGGTTATTCAGCAAGGCAAGATGCTGAGAGTAGTTTGGAGGCAGCATGCTGTGTTGCTGTGCATTGTTTCTTTCACTGTGCTCCTTCTGTATAATTATGCATTTTTCTAAAAAGATAAAAAAAACTTCCCAGTTCCAAGTTTTCGGATATAAAAGATTTCTGTGTTACTGTTTGCAAAGCAGCTTATGTTGTTCCAGAATTTAGAAAAGAAATGATTTTCCCCTGGGATATGTTTGGCCATGCCTGTGTGTGTATGGTTCTCTGGATCAGGAGAAGTTATGGCACGCTTTTGCTTTGAGCACAGCTTGTGGCATTTCTTTAGAAATTCAGGATCTTTAACCGCACACCAGCTGTAAGGAAGGTCATAATGCAGGAAGGAATGTGGACGGCACAGAGGAGTGCATGTTAACCAGCGAGTGCTTGAACTAAATATTCACAATACGACTAACCCTTTACAGGTTTCAGCTTAATAAATTTAATAGAAAAGTTGATTTATTTCAGAATTTCAGCTGAAAAAAAAGGAACAGCCTTTCAAAATCCTCTTTCTGCTTAAGATTAATTCAAAGATTTTTAAGTACAGAAATATTTTTGTCAATACAATCAACCAGAAGACTACCAACGACCTGTAAATGGCAGGTAAGACTCAACAGGTCATAGCTAAAGAGGCAGGTCTTTTTTTGTATCCCAAACATGAACACCAATCATGAAATGGAAGGAATGAAAGGAAAAAGTTTGGTACAAAAAGGCGTCGAGCAAAACTCATCCGAGTTTCCAGTCGCTGATGGTTTGGGTTGCCATGTCAACTATTGGTTGTTTTGACTGTGGACTTTAGAAAACACAGTAGACCAACACCATCTACCATGACAATTGAGCTTCAAGGAGAGCCTAAAGAGGATCTGTACAGAGTATTGTCAAGCAGAAGATATGAGACACGGATAAGGATATTAGCAAAGAAACCAGGGTTTTTATGAAGCTGCTGCTAGTTGCCTTCATCCCATTAATTTTCTAATAGAATTTAATTATGTATAGCATATCTACGATGTGTTGAATTTCTGAAATAAATCAACATTTTGATTACTTACTAATAAAGGTCCATCTACGTCCAGATGGAGCTGTGGTTGTATTAAATACTGCAGAATTTCTGGTTTCCTGACTGAAAATGTGAGCAGCTCATTAATTAATTTCTCTTGTTTTTCTCCAGACACCTTCTGATTACACCAGAACAGACAGTCCTGTCAGGGAAGCACCATATTCTCCCACCATCCAGCCGGTGAGCTGCTCCAACACGTCTTCCACCAGATTTCACCACCCACCATCCTGTCATCCTTCAAATTTACCTTCTCATTATTCATGAGTCACTTGTAGCTCTCCAACAGAGCTATTTTACAGCTGTCCCTCTTGACCCTTTTCCCCACCCTTAGCCCAGCCACCACTCCTCCAACAGCTCCCTGTGTGCAGGCAGGGAGACCCGCTTTGTAAGTGGGCTTTGTGGCCCCCTGTACAGACTGCATCAATTAAAAATAATTTCTAGAGTTTCCTCAGCCCTTCTCGGCTGACAAGCATGCGAATGCTCCTCTGTGGCAAACTCATTACTGATGCTTTGTGCTGTTCACACTATATATGCATCACTCAAAGACGGTTTGTCTGCTGACCAGCTATGGCTTTATATTTTCTCTTGATAACATTTTGCACAATCATTATTAAGAGGATAATTTTACCACTTTTTGGGGTAGAAAATGGTAAAATCTGGTTGAGTTTAATTGCTTGGGAAGAGTCTTTAAGTGGCCCTGCATTGTCCTAAAGAGGCTACACTAGTTTATATTTCTTCCTTTTAATGCTTCTTTTATTTAAAATAGACGCTGCAGAACGTAGAGCTCTGTCAAATTTTCATTTTGTTATAATTTTTTGTCTTCTCCACAGGCAAACATTCATTACACTGCCACTCCCACTGCTAAGGACAGCACCTCATCATCAGTGAGTGTCAGTAGGAAAGAACAGCAGATTACCTTTGAAACTAAATTTCAATTAGAAAAAACATTTATGGAAAACGACCCTGGTTTGAATAGCTCAAGAATCTCCTGTGTAGGTGCTTAGACCCATAAAGACAACAGCGTAACATTTCTAAGGTGCATTATAGACCATAACAAAATGAAACCTTGATTCAATTTAATAAGGGAAAAGAAAATGGTGAGGGTCCAAAAACTCACATTGATAAGCAGATAAGGTTGTAAAACCGCCTTTTTTATCAGATTTCAGGATTTATCTGATTATATTTTGTATTTTCTTTAGTTGTGTTGATTAGTTAAAGTAATTTTAAAGAGATTTGAGAAAGAATTAGAATCTATTTTAACCGAGGAATCAATCAGAAGAGTACTATAGTATTTCAGAGCAGTACATGGATACGTTTAAGGTTAAAGATGAGGATCTATCTATCTAAGGCCAATTTATACTTTTGACGCATAGCCTCTGCAACCATCGAATCTGCCTCTGTGCGCGGCCGCGCCCCCCTCACAGAGGCCCTGCAGCAGTCGTTGCTCACCTCAAAAAAATCCTGACTACGTGTCGGACGGTCGCAAACCCGCGCAGACCTCAAGTGGAAGTGCGCAGACAAAAAGCAGCTGTGATTGGTCCTTGGTATTTCTTTTCAGCTGTCTGTGTGGTCGTCCTTCTCGATTCGGAGCGGTTTGGAAGTACAACCACTTGTACGATGGCTCAGACATGTTGTTTTGGAAAATAAACAATCCCACCGGCGCCGCCGGAGAAGTTCTCGTGACCATCCGCCGCAGTTCTCACAAGTGCACTAATCCAATCACTAGACCAGCACTCTCCCCACGTTTACCTTTAAAATATTGATTCATTTTTCATTTGAGTGGAACACAATATGACATTGAAAGGTTTCAGAGCTTTTTAAAATAAGTCTTTTTTTATTAAACCTCCTAGTTCTAGTCAAATTTGTCATTGAAACTCCAAACCTCATGAAGGCATTCCAACCATTAGCATCACTTTAACTTTTCACCTATGGCTTAACTGTCATATTTTTTGCTTTTCTCCAGACGCGGCCCGGTGCCATCCAACCAGTCGGACGTGTCCGGCCCACCACCTCCCCCGGCACGCCGGAGCGCCGCAGTCCCAACCCTTTCCAGCATGGCCCCTCCCCATTCAACTCCCAGACCTCTGTAAGACCCCTCACCACCACCACCACCACGTAGGGCTGGTCTTTACCATCCTGTGCTGCCTGGCCAGGGCACACAATGGCAGTGTGTCCATCACTGGTTACCAACGTCTACAAAACATGATAGATTGTTACCAAAGATGGAGACAGTTTTTTTAAATGTTCAGGGGGGTATCTATTTGCCCCCATCAAGCTATAGTGTACAGAATTGCTTAGCTGCAAAAGGTTTCTGCTTTGTGTAATAATCTGATTATTCTTCAGGCAGCAGTGGTTAGTAATGAGAGAAGCAGTGATTTCATCTCAAACCTGCCTGCTTGCTTTACTAAGGTGTCCAGACAGAAGGATCTGCCTGGCCTGCCAAAGCCCTACTGTCTGTCTTTCTATGCATCATTCCTCCTCCTTCACATGAAACGAGCCGCCATGCTGTTCACCCGTTCCTCTCCACAGTCACCTTGAACTGCTAGATTTTGTTTTTTTATTCTCTCCACCCTCCTTTCCATGTCTCTGTCTGTCCCCCCCCACCTCTTCTACCATATGGACCTACCCTTCATGACTCCCCTTCCCCTCCTGCAGCCTCGCGCCCCCTCCCCTTCTTCGCCCGACGAATTCCCAATGAATGTCAAGCAGGCATACAAGGCGTTCGCTGCCGTGCCTCGCTCGCTGGCAGTGCTGGAGCCGCCGCAGGTATGACACGCTGACTGGACTGGGCCAGGTCACCACATGAGCATGCTGTGCTGACTGATTGGATTGGCCCCGCCCCTTCCCTTCAACTTCCTAAAGCAGGCGGTCCTTAAAGAAGCCTGCATGCTGTCATGGGGGGGATCTGTGACGTGCTGTGACATGTGGAATGTCTCCATCGGTGGTTTTTGTGCTCCACTCACTCCATCTGTCAAAGCGGTGCTGATTCTGCATCTCCATCTGTCCATGTGTGGCCCACGCAACGCTGTGAAATCTGTTTTATACTTTCCTGACTGCCTGTTTGGTGTTGGAGCCTTTCTCCTGACTCCTTTTGGTGAACAATCATTCTCCTCTCGCCCAACAGGATCTGTACAGCGGGAGGAACAACTTTCACATGAAGCAACCTTCACCAGAGGTCAGTAAAGATAACCCACAGACAAGACATGAAGCAAGAAACACAATCCTTGTTCAGTTATAAATATAAATATATACAATAGCTTATATTTTTATTTTGGATATTGTTGGGGTTTCAGAAAACCCTGCATCCAGTTACTAAAACATCAGTGACGCACATTTGATACAAATTTAATTGATTCTTGTGTTTTATTAAAGCATGTGAAACTATTCCCTGTGACGCATCATTAATGTGCACAATAATTCTTACCATTAATAGTGACACAAGCCCATGACACTTGGGAATAGAAGGTGGAGCTATGCTCAGCAGCATGATGCCACGGATGGGGTTTATTTCTGCAGGATATTCACACCTCCAATGTTTATATTAATAACATAAAGCAAACAGCATTTCAGATGCTTTTATGAAAGGAGGAGTAAATAAATGGACATAATGTTCAAGTTTAAGGTGTAGCTGAATCTTTTTTAGTTCATCTTTAACTTTGGAAATCTGATATTACAGGTACAAATTAATGCTTCACCCAGACTAAAAAGTAATACTGACTCAAGATCAAACCTCAGTTATCTGATGTTTTTAAATGGGGACAGTTCTAAATGGTATTTTAGTTCTGGAGTAAAGCTGCTCTGATCTTCGAGACGTGATTTTATTTTCAGCCTGTTTTGAACGACGAGGTGTTTGATGATAGAATCGATGGTCAGGAAGGAGGCGGAGAGGGTCTGACCAGAAAGGTCTCCCCCCGGCCCTCCCTGTCTTCTGATCGGCGGGAGTATATGAGTCTGGCCGCGGTGCCCTGCTTCTCCAGATCCTCCATGGAAATGAAGGTATCCAGCGCCTCTATGGCTGGAGCGGGCCTGTCTGAGGTCTGGGCTGTGGTGTGCTTAGCTTGGCCGGTGGTGGTTTCTCTGCTCCCAGGACTCCAGATAAAAATCTATTCAGCCATGGGCTCCCCTTATAGCTGCTCTGAAATTCCCTCAGCAGTGCTGGGTTTAATAATTCATTTCTCTCCTCTTGACCTTCCATCCTCTGGCATCTCTCTGACAATGACGCTACTTTTTTTAGCTTGTGGGTCGAGAATGATGCAGTGTAAATCCAAGCTGTTTATCTTCTTGTTCTTGATTTTTAATTTTATATTTCTCACCCCTTAGATTCCTCTTGGAGGGAAGAACAGCCCAGAGCAGCGCTCCTTCAGGGACAGGCAGAAATACTTTGAGATCGATGTGAAACAGCAGACACCAGAGAAGCCTAAACCCAGAATTTCCCTCGTTGGAGAGGAAGACCTCAAGAAAATGAGGGAGGAGGAAGGTTTGTCTTTTAGTCCCAAATCCGGTACAAACACGCCACAGCTGTTTTTTGTTTTTGTTTTGTTTTTTTCAAGTTTACATGCCTGTGTCTCTTCAGAGAGAAGGTTTGAGCAGCGGGCACGGGAGTACCTAATGGACGAGGATGAGGAAGATGAGGAAGAAGAAGACCTGGCTAAGCAGGTGGAGCACATGAAGGCTACTGGGAAGGTGCTGTTGGACGGGGTGGAGTACAAGGTGGAGCCTGTGTCGAGCCCATCTCAGCACTGCTCCACACAACTGAGCTACTGCGGCAGCTCAGGGTGAGAATCATTTCTTTCTTTTAAATCTTTTCCCATTTAACTTTTTTTTTGACAGTTTTTTTCTGCTATGTGTCTATAGGCCTTCCTCGGTGGACGGTAAAGGTGACTCTCAAAGGAATTCACTAGAGGACAGCTTCAGGTTGGAGCAGAGGCCAAACTCTATGACAGGGTGAGTGCAGTTTTCAGAGCTAAAGTAGATTTTGAACGTCTTTATTCCGTGAGTCACCTTACTTACTAATGATCGGTCTCATCAGTCTGATATCAGCTTACCCTGGAGAGTCAACTGCACCGATTCGTACAGCCAAAGCAGAACGCAGACACCAAGAAAGGCTGAGGATGCAGAGCCCTGAGCTGGCTGTGGCCCCAGACAAGGACCTGTCCCCTGCAGAGAAACGAGCGCTAGAAGCTGAGAAACGGGCCATGTGGAGGGCAGCACGGTAACTCATGCACATGCCTTTGAGGAAAAGGCATATATGTCGTCAGATGTGACATTCTGTTCTGTGATGTAACATAATTAGCCCTAAAAGCAGAACATTTAGGTTTATAGTTTGTGACATTTTATGTAGAATAAACACAACATAAAAAGTGGAAAGAACATCGCTTCTTAAAAAACTAAAACTGTCTTAACCCTTACAACATAAATATTTCAAAAGTATAATGGAAAGCAGTACCTTGCAAAAGTTTCACATTACAATCTCTTTTTTGATAGTTTGAAAACACAAAGTAAATGATTGTTTAGTGAAAGAAAAAAAGGTGGAAGGATTTAAAACCTTTGACAAATGAAGACCTGAAAACTTTTCCTGCCACTTAAATAAAATCTATTCCAATGAATGACTTAAAAATCACATGATTGCTTAATTCTATAATAATTTAATCTGGGAACAAATCTTGCTGTTCTCTGGAGTTTTTTTAGGGACCATTATTGAACAAATGGCTTTATAAAGATCAAGGATTAGCAGAGAGGAAAAGTAAAATGCTCTGGGGAATTTTAAAGCATAAAAGAAGGTAATAAGACTTCAGTTCATATAACAGACATCTAAACATGGTTACGGTACTTTATTTTGAATACTATGCCCCCATTGAAACATGGTGGTGGCAGCATCATGGTGTAGGGAAAGGTGTCTACCAACATTGCAGCAGCAAATATGTGTAGGATACAAAAGATCTGATCCTGGAAAGGAGAGTCAGGACTATGACCCAGAACATGCTGCCATATGTTGTTTAACAGAACATTTTAGACCAATGTATGCGTGTTTGGCCTAGTCAAAGTCTAGACCAATATCAAATGAATCTCTGTTAAGACACTTACCATCCAGTTTAAAGACCTAAGCTATCATACAAAGTAGAACTTTGGGTCTTAAAGGTACAAAATATTTCAGCTTTTATTCTAGTCAGAGGTAGCTGTAACGTATTCCTCCAGGCTGAATATAAAGTTGTTTTCACATTGTCCTGTTTGGAAACAGGTACATAACCATTTTTTAAATCCTTTCCATAATGATGCCCTTCTTTGCGTTTTCTCTCTTATAAATTGTAAAAAAAAAAAAAAAAAAGTGTGAAAAATGTTGCAACATACTGTGATAAAACTTGAGTCATGACTCCACTTTATTTAATATTAATTTCTAGTGTTTAAGTAAAAAAAAAACATTTTTTCTATTTTAGGTTATACAGATTAGAAACTATAAATTTGTCAGAGCCTAAGTGAGATTCATTAACATCTCTGAGTTTGGTAGAATCGGGTTGTTCTGTAGACCAAAGGTCTAAAAACGCAGCTGACTGATTGTTTGGTCTGTTTCCTTCTCCCTAATTTCACGTCTTAAGGCTTGTTTATTATTCCTGGTTTTCCTAATTTTTGTCCGTGTTTTATCTTCCATTCTTGGATTTTCTTCTCTCTTTCTGTCTGTGTCCCTCTCTGTCTCCTCATCATTTCTCTCCTTCATCATGGCATTCCTTTCATTCCCCTCCCTTGCCCTCCGCCGCCCTGTCCCTCCCTCCCATCTCTGTTGGTTGTGGGGCTCAGGCCCTATGGCCTAGAGGAGGATGTTAGACAGTATGAGCAGGACCTGGCAAAGCGGCTCTACCAGGCCCGAGTGAGGGCCTCTCAGGGCGCAGCCCCCCAGCCCCATGCTTCCTCCTCTACCTCCTCCTCTGCAGCCTCCCAGCTCAGGTCTGCTCCTCGGCCCCAGCCATTAGGGCCGGACACACGGCATCATGGGGGTGTGCTGGGTTGCTTTGGTTTTTGGGTATTTCGCTAGATGCCAGATTCAGAAAGGTCCAAGCAAGCACGTACAGCATTACTAACGGTGCTTCTGTTGCCTTTCTAGTTTTGTTCTTCTGCTTTTGCTTCTGCACGTCTTCTGTTTCCTGTCTCTAGTCCAGTTTGGCCTCATTCTCTCTGTCCTCTTGTCTCGTCCTTTCCCCTCCCCTGTAGAGCTCCTTATTTTCCTTTATGCCTTGCCGTTATAGCGGTATGTGTATTAACACATAGCCCACAGTAAGTTTGCAAGCTGATGAGCGTTAAGGGTGAACCTACTAGCTGTAGGTTGTCCTTTTCCTGGAGTGCCTTCCTTCTCTATTTGTTGTATCATGAAATGAGATCATCTCAGCAAACCAGGACAAGGAGCACCCATATCAGTAGTGAATGGCCTACCACTGCCTCTGCCATTATTTCACACCTCTAACATGATATCAGAGGATTTCCTTCAACCTGCGTGTTTCCTGTGTAGAATGAAGTCTCTGGAACAAGATGCACTGAAAGCTCAGATGGTCATTGCCAAGTCTCGGGATGGGAAGAAGCGAGGGACACTAGACCAGCTGGCGGAGTCCCCATCTCCTGCTCCAACGCCATCTCCCACTCCAATGGAAGGTAAGACGACACACAGCTGGAGCCGAGAAGGATTTATCTGGAATTTTCCTGCAACATAATAAAACACAAGATCTTCCAAAATATTAATCTATTTTTCACATTTTGTTGCATTTAATCCACAAACATCATGTTAATTATTGGGATTATATGCAGTTGTCAGTGTCATGTTGAAAGGTGATGATTTATTCTTTTGTTTTAGTTTTTTTTGGTTTTCTTCTACATAATAATGCTTTTTAGATCTGAAAGCTGTGGCATTCATTTGTATTAAATTGTAAATAATAAAAATGAATTTGTGCTGAAGCTTTAGAAATGACATTAGATGATAAACAACCTCGCACAGCTAACCTCTAAGCCACCTACTGGAATTTATTTCCATCTATCCTCTCTTCCAGGTAAATAGGCACTAGTTTAGCTGTTGCAGTTCTGGCTTTAGATTCAGGATCAACATCCTGATCTAGGAGCACTGATCTAAGGTTGTCGTAGCTAAAGGGGAGGAAGAAATGCACAGCACACCGTAGATTCCCAGTGATGGACTGCTTTGTGCCAGTCTATCACTTTAAATCCTAATAAAATAAGCTGTAGTTTAAAATGATGTGACAAACTCAGCTGTAGAGAAAATATTGACGTTCTACCTGAAACATTTTGTATTTTTCCTTTCCAGAGCTCAGTCCTCGAGCTTTGACCTCACCCGGCAGGCTGGTAAGCTTCCACTCTTGGTTTTTACAGCCTTACACTCCTTCTGGGTTTTTGCTTTATTTATTTGTTTATTCCTCATATTATCAAAAATCTAAAATTGACTTCAATAACAAGTCCAATTTAAGGAGTTGTTTAAAGATGGAAAATCCATCGGATTCTTTGTTGATAAGCTGTCAGACGACATTTTCTATAAACATTGCCATAAATCCACCATCTTGCTTCATGACAGTAAAAACTGACACACCTTGCTCTCCATTATGTGCCCCAGCTGGTTCACCCATTAGCCTCTGTGCCTCCCACCTTCTATTTTTTTCCCCTCGTCTCATGTTTTCATCCTCCCACCTCTCCCTCTGCTTTTTGCTCATCCCTGTTTGCTATCCTTCTAGTCCCTGTCATCAAAGAAGTTTGACTACCGACAGTTTGCCGCCATTCCTTCTTCCAAACCCGTATACGACATTCAGGTATTGGCTGCATGCTGAGCTCCCAGGGGCCGCTCCCGGGGGCCCCCCATCCCGCCCAAGCTTCCTCCCTTCCTCCCTCCCCTGGCTTTCCCTGCTGCCTCTCCCCTCTAGTTATCGTAGATGGAGGAATCGGTGTGGCTGCCGTCTGGGTCGTGCTCAGTGGTTGATCAGAGCTGGCTGGAAGACCTTTGGTGCACTAACTCCTACTTTGAAGGAAAAAAAAACTACTGAAATAATGACAGCCTCCCTTCTGCTCTTTTCCTCTCATAAAAAAAAACAATATCCTTAGTAACTATTCATACTCTTTTATGCAGCGCTTCACTAACTAACCCCTATGAAACCATGACACTCACCTGCAGAAGACATTTTGATTCCACTAACCTGAACTGGTTATTCAGCATCTCACTCGCTCACATTCACTTCCATCTATTTTGTCCATGCATGGGTCATGACGTTATCAGACAAAAGAACTCCTTCTCATCTGATGGCTTTTAAAACGCGGTTTTCATAATCTGGTTGTCTTCCATGTGGAGGGAGAGGATGCAGGGGAAACCTGGAGTTGTGCTGGTCTACATGTCTTCTGTGTTTTGGGTTAGTGTGTCTGTCAGGTTGTGTGGTGTCTAGTGTTTTTACAGCAACCTCTGTTTTCAGCTTTTGGTGGTAGTGCATTGAAACATTGTATTATGTTTATAAAGAATAACTAGTTATTTCTTATTCTGCAAATGTATTGATGTATATATATATATATATTCAAATAGTATGAATCAACTGGTTGTAATGCAATGTTACCACAAGGTGGCAGTAATGTGCCAAGTTATTTAACCAAAGCCATCAAATCGACCAAAGACTTCTTGCTTAGCATATCGTTGATTTAAAGCCAAGTATGCAAAGCTGGTTTATTGACTTTAATGTTGGGGAAGAAAATCAAAATAACTGTATGAGCATCTGGGAAAAGTAGATTAGAGATTAGATTAAATTAGATGAGCTTTATTGATCTCACAGCGGAGAAATTCACTGGTCACATATTGGCATAGTAATTAAAGAAGGTGCAAACAAGGAGGAAAAGAATAAAAATAAATAAAAGGAATAAAAATAAGGTATAAAAAAATAAAAAATACAAGGGAGTAACACAGAGATTTGAAGTGACATATGTACAATCAGGATGGCTTATATACAGGTGGATTGACTTTTACATTAAAGTGTAGTAGGTAAGGATTAACGGTGAGGTAGTGGTATGACTATTATATGAAGTAAGACCTTGGCTTAAAATAATAAAAGTATTCACATCGCTTTAAATTTTTCCTCATTTTGTCACATTGAAACCTTTACTCTGATACCCCTAAATAAAATCACTGCTACACAAATCCCTTCGTTATTAGACGACGCCCACCATCTGTGTGTCATTTAAGCTTAAAACTATTGTGTGAAAACTGCAGGTTCATTGAACGTTTCTGATCAAAGAGCTCTGTTTAATTTATAATCTAAAGATTGACGAGAGTAGACGTTTTCTGTGGTTTTGACAGACTTGGAGGCTCAGTAGGTTACAGGTTTTCTCCCTGCCAGCTCCTCTACAGCAATGGTGAAGGATTCCTGTGGGAAATGGCTTATCAAAGCATTTTATTTCCACCTCTCAGTCACTTATTCCAGCCTGTTTTTCCCCAGACACCTGATGCAGCAGAGGAAGTGCAATACATCGACGCCTCCAGCATTGCCGGTATGTACTTATTGTTTCCTTCTTTTCTACCAGAGTTTGGTACAACCCCTTACCATCTTTAATAAACCGTGTGTTTTACCTCATCCTGTTCTGTTCCCTTTAATTCAGGTACCTACCCGGACTAAGCAGCTATTGGTAGGATCCTATGTGCATGTGTTTGTTGGCTGAATGTCTGAGGGGAGTTGATAGGTGTTGGTCTGCAAAGATTCTCTCTAACCTGCAAGTTGTGCAAGCTTGGATTCTGGGGTTTTAATATGCAGGGTTGCTTTGCTGCTTCTGTCCTGATCTGCAAGATGTATGTTGGGTCAGAACCATCTCAAGTTTGCACTAAGGAAATAAACACTCAAAGCTTTTCTTTAAGGGAAGACCAGATGTCATTAATCCTGGATCCGCTTCTTTTATCAGTAGAGTTAAGTGGTTTATTTGGCTGTTTATCGGCCATTAAGAACAGAACAGATGTTGGCGGGCTTTCTTCAGCCGGTTCTCATTAACTCTTATGGTTATGGCCTTAATAATCTTTATAAGTTTCTCACTTTATTTTCCAAGACCAGAGCTACTAAAATGGTGTTGCGGTTTATTTTTTCTTCTGCACTGAAGAGTGTTGTGTTGGAAGTCATTTATTACCGCTTGTCTCATAGGTTCAGATTGGATGTTGTTTTCCACTAAAGCTGGAAACTGATGCATCTGTTTCTTTTCTCTCAGGCGTTCACCGAGTTGTTACTAAGGTTTCATTCTCTGTTTCCAGGCATTGACAGTTGTTGGTGATGTGGAGAGTAAAATAAATAGAACTCCTCTAAACGCTTAAGTGCTCCACTTTCCTTAAAGGTTCTAGGTGCTCCTTACAGAACCGCTCGCTTGAATCTAATTATAACCCAGAATTGTTTTGTCCCCTGTTGTTGATTCTCTTGGTACTTTGACAGCTGCATGGATTTCCTTTAGCGCTCAAATAGAAATCACTTGGAGCTCTAACTCCCTCCCTCATAGAGGAAATGTGTTTAATGCAGGAAACACACTCATAAAATTATCTTTAGGACATTTTGCACTCATCTAGCAATAAGTATTTTAATACATTTTACACAGATTTTCCTTAAAATGTAACAATATATGTCAAATGTCTCACATTCAATGAATTATAGACTGCTGCAGTTCTGTTTTTTGGCAGCAGGTGGCAGAGTCATTAGAAAACTCTGTAATGCCTCCTTATTCACTAGATTGGTAGGAAATGCCCTACGGCAGAGTTCACTTTTTAAAAACCAGTCAGCCAAACACACTAAACCAGTACGATAATTGGCAATGGAGTTATGCTATATGACCAATACATAAATAAATGTTTCTATGACTTTGCTCTCTTGTTCAGGTTTAGGCTTCCACTGGATGAATGTAACACTGATGTGCAAAGTGCACAACATGCCAGTGCAGAAAAACTGATCTTTGTTAATATAAGTGGTTCAGGAGGAGCATCCTTTTTTGTTTTTTTTCTTACATTGGTCCCCTTGGTTTGTTGATATTTAAAAACAACAGGAAACATGAAGTGTGATACTGATTAATCAAATGTTCCTCCAAACATGAAAAATAAAAAAACTTATATTTCTGGAGGAACCTTCACAAGCTGCTGCAGTCCAGAACTTCCCAGACTGCTTCAGATCCTTCAAGTCCTGCTTGATATTTCTACTCACCCAAAGCTTCCTCCATCTTTCACTGCACAGCGCCAGTAAAGACGACATTCTATCTATGCCGAGGGAAAAGCTTAATGTCTTCTTTTGCTTTCATTGCAGGCACTGAAGTGGAGGTTCCCGCCCCGCTGCCCGCTACCTCTGCCTTGGAGGAGATGGCCCTTTACAGCAACAAGCGCAAGCTGAGGCAGGGGCGCCGCAGCCTGGAAACCGCCATGCCCACGTAACACAACCAAAAAAAAAGAAATAGTCACCGACATTCACACACAGGAGAGGAGCTCTTCAAGCATAAACCACTGCAAAGACTCAAGCTTCTAGTCGCCACTCTTAGATACTCACTTATAACCTGCGTGCCAGTCTTGCCTTTATAGTCTGTGGGTAAGTTGGCGAGCTCCTCAGAGAAGAGGAGACGATGCAGTTAGTTAGGATTGCTACTTACAGACAAATTATTTTCTTAAATTTTCTGTTTGCCTCGTAGATCGGATCTATTTTAACTTGAGGGTGATCAAAATTTCTAGTTGTTTTCTTTTTTTTTTATACTGTTCTAGTTGTTTTCTTTTTTTTTTATTTCTGCACCATTATGATTTCACTGTTTATATAAAAAAAAAGCATAGTGGAAACGGGAAATGAAAAGAAATGGGTTATAGTTTTACTAACTTCAGCGATTAGACTGTAAAGTGTCTTTTTAAAGATTTGGGATGTAAATATTAACTGAGGAGGGAACAGCTGGCTACCTTCATTCTCACATATGGTGGAAAATCTTGAAGCACATATCTTTTATTCACTGCCACTGTATCATAATTTATTGTTTTTAATCATTTTAGTCAAATCGAAGGCCTTCATCCTACAATTCTCAGAGTTTGGACGCATCATTTTAACAAGTTTTAACCAATCATCAGCATATCACTACTTAGATTTACTTGATAAATACACTTAAATCACAGGGGGAACTGTAGAAATGTTTAAAACATCTGAGAGAAAGCGCCTTGTTGGTCATTAAAGTGCTGAGATGCATCAACAAGCTGATTCCTCTCATCCATGCAGCGTCTGCTCAGATAAACCCAGACCGCAGCAGATACTCATCCTCTGATAGTATTCATTCTTGGGATCATGCATTTTAGCATCATTTATCTACGGTACTTCTCCTCCTAAGGGGGTGTTTTGTATTTTTATTTTATTTTTCTAAATCAATGTGAGCCATTAATACTATCCTAGCATCTTTGCATTATCTGGAGTTTTGCCACAGTGATGTGAAGGTAGCAGGTGTTTGTATTTTTCTGACTATGGTTAATTTAAATCTGATGCCACTGAAAAGTCATTTATCGTGTGAATAATGTACAAAAACTGAAAGGAAAGAAGTGAACATGTGGGTTTGAAACTGAGCCTGTCTGGACTGCTGAAGCACCTGGGTGGGGTTAGGCTTGGTTACTGGGACGTTCTTTTCATGTATATTGGTTTCATTGGGAGAGCTGCAAGAGGCTGAACCAATCAGAAATCTCTTTCATTAAAAACATTCAGCTCATGTATCTCATGGGGATTTTTTCTCTGCAGAATCACAGCGTCGTAGCATTTTAATTTAATGTAGGGTCTATGATTAGTTTCCATGTTTCTCTCACTGACTGAAATTCAGTTTGTTTGTTTTTTACTATTTGTAGGCAATGTTTTTTTTTTTCCCAGATGGGTTTCACTACAATGATGCTGTGTTTTTATGTTTCTGTGTTTCTTATTTCGTCTTGAGTTAATTTTGGGGGCTTTAACTTGCTAACAGGCCAGAGGGTGTGGGGGGGTCAGATGTCCTAGGGTCGAGGGTTCTAGCTCACATAAGACTGTAACTAGTGAATTTGTACAACCAAAGAAGTCTATTTTGTGGTTCAGGAATAATAAATTTTACTTTTCATTTAAGAAGCTAATTCAGTCTGCTGTCTTTTGTGTTTGATTAAGGTGAAAACAATCAAACTTAAGCAAAGTCGAATGTAAAACGAAACGCAATGAGTTGGACTTTGATAAAGTGAGCTCACAGCAGACGAAAGCGCTGACAGGAAGACGTTTTTCCAGGATCTGAAGAAGCAGCCAAACCGATGGGTTTTAACCACCTGGGCCCTGTTTTAGATTATCGTATACAGACTAGAGAGCCGTTATCCTTAGTCATCTTATTCTGCTTCGTGATATTCAGGATTTTCTATTTTCAGGGCCCGTTTCACAAAGCAGATTAACTGAAAACGTTTTTTTTTTAAACCCGAAATCAAGAAAAGTGAGTTTTCCATTTATCAAATAGAGTTTACTTGACCTCTATTTCTGTTACCATATTGTTTTTCTCCCAGAGCTAACCTGGTTGGGAGCTGTTTTCTTCCATGAACTCTGAGTTTACCCTGTCTCTTTCCTCCTGAAAGCCAGTCACATTGTTTTATTTCCTGATTTAGTCAGTTTTCTCTTAGTTTTGTCTGAACAATAAAAGGAAAATGGTTTACTACCTCCTCACCACCAGTCTGGCAGATAGGGCTGTGGAGTCCTTTGCTGTGCAGTGCAGCACATTATCTGTAGTTGAGGCAGTCACAGTGGAAGACGTGAACTGACACAAACCCCAAACAACATGGATACCAAAATAACTGAACAATCAATATCATCTGAACATATACAGAGATAGATTTTTTATCTATACGTTTCCTTTTGATAGCAGGAAAAATATTGCTATATATGATGATATTGCATCATATTGTAACACCAATGACAATACTCACCCCTACCTCTGTTACATTAGACATTAGGTGTTAAGAAGAACTCCCACATGTGGATGCTGTTTCTGGACTTCATCTTTCAGCTCCATCATCCCACAGCATCTGATGGGCAAACTGGAACAGCTGGGCTTCAATACACCCCTCTACAATTGGCTGTTAGACTTCCTCACAAATAGACCTCTATCTGTCAGGGTTAGACAGAACACCTCTGAAGTCATCATCCTAAGCACAGGCTCCCCTCAGGGCTGCGTCCCCAGGTTCACCACAAATCACATTGTGAAGTTAGCAGACGACACCATGGTGTTGGGCCTCATCAGAGATGACAATGACCAGCTGGTACAAAGATAACAACCTGATCCTGAATGTAGAGAAGACAAAGGAGATCATGGTCGACTCTAGGAAGAATCTGCCTAACCACGCTCCACTGCTCATCAACTGCTCAGCTCCTGTAAAGAAGGTCAAATTCCTGGGGGTGAACATCACAGACACCCTCACCTGGAAGGTAAACACCACCTCATTGGTCAAAAGGGCACAAAAGCCCATGTACTTCCAGCGGAGGATGAGGAGAGCCCACCTGCCCCCCTCCATCCTCACCACCTTCTACAGAAGCACCATAGAGAGCGTTCTGACCAGCTGTCTCACTGTGGTGTGGAAGCTGCAGCTCCTCAGACTGGAAGAAGAGTGGTGAGAACAGCAGAGAGGATCATTGGGGCTCCTCTTCCCTCCGTTGAAGACATTTCATCCCAGTGCTGCGTGTCCCGAGGTCGTAACATTAAAAATATCCCCTCACACCCCCACCATGGACTGTTCTCCCTGCTGCCCTCTGGGAAGAGGCTTAGCAGCATTGGATGCAGGTCCAGCAGATTCCAGAACAGTTTCTTCCCGACCGCCATTAGACTGCTGAACTGTTTAAAAAAAAAAAAGAAAATCAAAATCATGTCCCAGACTCTGCATCGCACTGATAACACCAAACAAAAATACTGCATATCTGCACCATATATATTAATGCTCTGAGCTTCCATATAAATGCATTTTTTGCAGCATGTTTTTCTCCAACACTGTTTAAATTAAAGAATGATCGGTATTAATTCGCAGAGAATTAAATATTTAGAAGAGGGTAATCGGATCACGTATAGATGTCCTTTCATATTTAGAAAGTTCTCTATGAGCGCTACCATTTTACCTTACTAGATCTTAAATCCGACATTTTGCCTTCAGCAAAAAAAAACAAAGAACTAGTCATTGTTAGATAATTCGAGTGATCTGTGGCTGAAAGTTTATAAAGAAAATGTGAATTATTCACTTTGGCTAAAATGATGAAAATATTTATATAATTATGTTGAGCAAATGGTCTGAAACATCCACATGTTCCTCTGGTAAATGACACAGTATTTCTGATTTCAGCTGAAATGTGCAACAGACTCAGGATAACTTCTAGAAGTCCTGCTACCGACCAGAGTTAGCTCACAGAGTAAATTGCGGTCTAAATCAGACTCAGAATAACAGCTATCAAGCTTTCTGCGGTCAAATTCACAAAGCAGGTTTTTTTTTTCAGCTTTTACAGCAGTAGTAGCTCGTTTTTTTGACAGCTTACAGGAAAGGGGGTATGAGAGAGAGGGTAGAGACGTGGGAAAAGACTGCAGGCCAATTCGAACCCGGGTCGCCCGCGACTAAGGCATGGGTCGTGCACGCTAACCACTGCTCCACCTGCACGCCACAAAGCAGGGTTGACAAACTGAGTCAAATCCTCAACTCTGAATTGATCTAGCCTGAGGTTGGACACTGAGTTTTCAGTTTCATAAAAGCTACTGTGAGTTATTCTAATCAACTATGGACAGTTTCACTCATAGACATAAGAGTAGCCCCTCATCAAACGCTTTCACCTATAGGCTCTATGCACAGCTCCACTACTTCCTGAATTTAATGCAGCTCCTTTGTTTCCTGTCTTTCATGATTGGATGCACTGATTAATCCAGGTGTGTATGACCTAAGTAACTGGCCAGACACACCTGGATTAATCAGTTCGTCCAGTAATGAAAGACAGGAAACAAAGGAGCTGCATTAAATTCAGGAAGTAGTGGAGCTGTGCATAGAGCCCATTGGTGCTGACGTGATGTGGTGGCACCATCTTGGAGCGGTCGACAGCTCCACTCAGTCACATGTGTTGTGCAGGCACAGAATCAGTTTTAGTCAACTTTAACTCAGAATGTTTAACTAGTTTTTTTACAGTTTTTTTTGCTGAAAACTATTTCACCGTTATAGAACACATTGATTCACTGCCATTATAGATATGTGAACTAGTTTCCCCATAATGCCATGGTGGCTACAACAGGCTGTGGCAGGCCATTTTGATGTATTATGATGTATTAGTTTGACTGAATATGTATTTCTCACATCTGAAAAAAGTTTTTTCCCTTATCAAAATGACCATTTCAAACAAAATGACATTCTTTACTTCTAGAATAAACATTCTAGATGCCTGTATGTGAATTTCAGATTTCCATATTCCTATTGTTACTGATCAGCATTTAGATTATTTTGACTATGAAGAAATGTATATTTCATCTATCATAAATAGATATTCAGTCAAGGTGATAGATGTCAAAAGGAGCATTTTAAATATATAAACATTTCTAGATATAGAAAATGTAAATCATAGTCGTACAGTTTTGTTTTTTTACTTAAACTCAGTTGCTGCTGCAAAAATGTAATTTATAAAATCTATTATTACGTTTCCCTATAGGAGTGTGATTTTGACCAGGAAGAACATTATTTTAGTGATCTACAAATGGAGCAA